TGTGGATTTTGCTATCTCCTCTGTAGAGGATTTTTTTCCTAGTGTTTGTACATACCACTTTTAAAATTAAATGTCCACCAGCACTTCTACTCACCAAGAGCTTCCACATCAGATCACAGGTGTTAAAAGTATTTTTTTTTCTTATTAAATGTTTAATTTTCATTTTAGAAGAAAAGAAATACCTTGAGTTGTTTAAATAACCTAATTCTTATTATGCAAACAAAGGGGTGAAGGATTCAGGCTTGCAGGCTCTCAGGTGCTGAGTGGTCACTGGTTAAAGACTTGAATTCTTTTGTTCTCAATATCTGCATCAGTGCAGCTTCAGCTTCAGTTTTGTTCTCAATATCTGCAGCTGTTTATTCCTGCTCTGGCTGCACCAGGGATCCCCTCTGCAGTTGCATCCTGCTGCCTGATCTGCATTGCTGTGTCCTTGGCAGAAACATCAGCCTCTACCACGCACAGAGGGACTGAGCCAGTATAAAACTTGGACACCCATCCTAAGCATCTTTTCATACCTCTGGAAAAAACCAGAAAATCTAATGTTTCCAGGTGTAAAACCAGGGATTAAGTTTAAAAAAATGAACCAAACAAAGAAGAAGTTAAAAGAACAAAATCCTTTGAGGAGTAGAGTATCCCACACCTGCACAGGGTGATTTTTCAGTGAGAATTTAAAATCTCCTCCTGCATGGCAAAGTCCCTGTATGCCAAGAATTCTCCTTGAATCCAGATGAATTTGGTTTTCCCTCAGCAGCAGCTGGGAGTGGCCATGGCTGGGGACAGGGCTGCAGGATCACTGCACTCACTGCCCAGGAGAGGACCCTGCTACACACTAATTATGGTGATTTATATCCCTGGGACCCAAAAGCTGTCACAGCTCGGGAAAGGGACTTTTTTGAATCCCTTTTTCTAATTAAAAAATAGCACATTTTTCCTAATTATTGATGGAGTTTCTATCAAATACCCAGTGTGGGCTTTTCTTCTGCAGCCCTGCAGGGTGAAGCTTTGTTTGTGTGCTCCACACTGTGAGTGAGGAAGGGATGCACACAAACCACAGACACAACTCAGCACTGCTGGGCTTCTACTTCCATGGAGAGAAGAACCTGGACTGCTCCCAGCCTTGGAAATGGCTCCTTAGCAGGGCTGCACAGGTACCTGGGATGGAGCTTGAGGATAAAAGTGCAATTATCAGATTTCTGATCCACTCCACAGGGCTCTGCCATGGCAGGAGAGTGTAAAATCTAGCTTGGGTCTCACCAATGTCCCTCAGGCAGGTAAGAGAATTACAGGTCAGAGTGCTGATGTTTGGAAATTAAACACAACTGCTTTAAGTCTCCTCTGCAGAGTGCAGAGCAGGAAAGAAACAACAACACAGTCAAGTGATATCACAGAAGGATTGTACTTGAGTGGTTTAAAGAACAATTGAAGTATTTATCATTGCTAGTGCCTAAGACTTCTTACAGAACCCATTCTTTACTGTTTATTCTTTCTTATCACTTTGGAATGGTGGGATTAAATTTGTGTTATAGAACTAGTCCCCAAAATGACTGGATTATTAGCACAGAGTGATGTGATATCCTGTTCTCTGCTAGTACTACATTTTCTAAAAGCCTCTTTAAGATGTCAGACTTCTGAAGCAGCATGAAAATGGTAATAAAAGAATTTTGGTTTAAAAAAAGAATTTCTATGGAAAGAATTTTTTCATTTGTGTTTTGTAAGCAGCCTTGTTGACTGGAATTCCTGTGCTAAAAAAATACAAAATATGCCAGGAATTGTGGCAATCATAAAAGTAGTGTGAAAGCCTGGAAATACTTTTTTTTGAAAGGAAGCATGGTGGAAACTGGAGGAAGCTTTACAGGAAAGAGTTGCTATCCTGGTATCTGCCCTGCCTGGAAGAAGAAATTATTTCTAAACAAATGCCCAGGGCCGGTTACACAAAGAAACAAACAAACGCAGAAATCCCAGCAATAAATCCCTGAATGACATTTCACAGGAGTGTGGCAGCTAAAGCAGGGACAGCTCAGCTTCCAGGGGCTGTGGGAGCAGTGTTCCACTCCTCCCTTCCGTGCTGGGTCACTAGGGAGGTGGTGCAGTGCCCTGTGCCCTGTGCCTGGCAGTGATGGATGGCGTTAATCCCTGGCGTGCGACGCCGCTCCCGCAGGTTAATTGATTTCTTTTGGCAAAGCCAGCTCCCAGCTCCTGTTGTCTGAGCAGCAGGACTGGCTGCACAGGGAAAACAAGGCAGCCTGAAATAGAAATTCCTCTGCACCCAGCAAGTAATAGGTAGGATGGAGGGGAGGGCTGGCTGGGCAGAAAGCAGCCCCTGCCAAAGGTGTGTGATGCCAAGGGCAGATGGACTGACAGGTGGGAGCTGGACGGTGCATCTGAGGTTTTTATCCACTAATAGCAAAATGCTGTTACCTCTCCTCTCACAGGCAAGCATGGAGATGCTAACAAATAAATCCTGCCCCATAAATTCTGAGGAAGCACTGAAGCTGCTGGAGGGGGCAGATGGGACCTGGCTGACAGCACAGACCCTGCTGCACAAGGGTCCCCCCACAGTCTCCAGCCTTACTTCTCTCTCACTCCACTCTCACTTCTCAGTAACTTGAGGGAAGCTGCACTCCAGGAATCTCACTGCAGGATGCCACAGTGTATTTTTAACATAGGAGTGGGCACACCCCAGAAAGAGTACCCTTCCTAGGAGTCACTTGAGAGAAATTATTTTGTTAACCATTATTTACGACACTTGTTCTCCCCAGTTTGCAACACAAAATATCTGTGACTGACTAATAAAAAATTCATAAACAAAGTGTGAATCAGGAAAGGGAATGATGCTGAAAGAGAAACAAAACCAGATTTGAAACCTGAATGTTTTTCTTCTAAGAATGGAGCAGTGGCTGTTTGTGAGGTTGGTTGCTCTGGATGTGGACAGAGTACAACCAAAGCTGCTAAGGGCAGACAGCAGCAGAGGAATAAAATCCCTTTTGTGTGGGAGCAATTAGAGGTGTGGATGTGATCTCCCTCCCACATTAACTCTGCTGTGCAAGCTGGGGCTTTGTCAGAACAACTGTGTAAGGCACAGCAGTGCTGGCAGCCAAGCAGAGCCACCCAGCTGGTGACCAGCCTGAGACCTGCGGTGTCTCCTGAGTGAACCAAACCCTCCTCCTTGAGATCTGCCCTGGAGCTGAGAACAGCTGGAAACCACAGTGCCCTGCTCAGCATAAAGGTCCAGGTGGGCTTGACATGCTAAAAAATGGGAGTGACCTGGGACTCTTCACTGTCTGAACCCTGAGCCCCTCCTTCACCACCTGAGGTGCCTCATGACACACTGGCAGCACGTGTGATGCAAAGGGACACAAATCACACAGCTAGAAGTGGAATGAGCACTCTCCTCTCTGAACACAGGAAAGACAAGCCCAGAAGCTTTCCTATTATCTGGTGAGCACCTTAAGCAAAGGAAAATGCTGCAGAGGGGATTTCATCTGCTGCACTGACACCAAGTAGGACTTTTGGATCCTTGCAGCAAAAAAAAACCACCCTGAGCACTCAGAAACTTCTGTTCACCTTGCCATGTCACCAGGTGGTCACTGCCTGGGCTGGCATGGACAGCTTATCTGCACAAGCACAAAACAGGGCTGGAGAGCAGATCCATAAGCTGGAGAGCAGATCCCACCTTCCTGCCTCATGCCATGCCAGGGAGGGAAACAAGGGACAGCTTTCATGGCTTACCCAAATAATCTGCTGTAGGATTTACCTTGTTTTCTCTTAGAAAGTCCTTCCTAGCACCTAATCTCCAACTTCCCTTCCTGCCATTTAAGACTCTTGTATGCAGATAACAAACCAGGCACACACATCCTGGCAAAACCAGGATGTGATGATGTCCCCAAAGCCACACTGAAGGTCAACTCTGTAGGACTTCCCATCATTATGACATGAGGTCTTGCTTTTCCACAAAGTTTAATAAAATAAAATAGAGGAACTTCTCCTTTCTTTGGTATTTCTGTATGCTAGTAAAAGGAGGGTGGAACTGCACTTACAGGGCCACAGCACCATCTGTGGCACTGCTTCCAAATCTCCTTCATCCATCTGATAAGACAGTGTGAGCCAGAAAGTATCACCCAAACTGTTCACACACTTATGTCAACTCCAAACATCTAATTTTCCTTCCACCTCTACTACACCTGGATTGATATTCCAGGGCCCTCCTCCTTAAGGTAAATCAAGGCTCCCATTCTCCAGCGAGGGAAAAGCAAAGGCAACTCACAGCCAACACCAGACTAGTCACCTACCCACATATTCAGCATGACATTACACATAGTAACTCTTATTTTTCAACAATGATGAGAAAGAGACTAACCCCAGAAGTTTGTATGTCATGTGGAAGCGTCTTCTGAATTACTGTAGTTGCCAACCGTGAGATGATCCGAATCGGTTTCTTTACTGAAAAACAGTAGCTTTTCTTTCATGAAGCTGCAAGAAGGGACTGGGAAAGACTCTTTATCATAGCAACCCTTGAGTGCACATGTCCCCACACACAGCTTGCTGCTTCCTTGCCTCATGTTCTTGGCTGGCAGAGGTGGTGAGTGGGGCTCTGGGGATGGAGGCGGGCGGGTGCAGCCTTGACCACCAAGCTCTGGGGAGCACCTCCTGCTCCTCACCTCACACTCCACCAGTTCCAGCACCCAGCAGCCCCTCACCATGGACAGCCTGGGCTCTGACATGCTCAGGCAAGGGTGTGAGGGGCCTGTGCTCCCCTCTGAGCCACGTGGCCAACAACTGAGATCCACCAGAGCAGAAGCGTGTAAAGGATGCCCAGCCAGCATGACCCAAGCCCCTGTGCTTCGTGCAGCCTCATGCACTCTGCTGAGCCCAGGTTCTGAACACACAACCCAACATCCTTTACCTGGAAGGGCCAAAGCCAGGGCAAGAGGACAAGCATAAGGTTCAAGAGAGCAAACAGGCTGTGGTGCCTCCCCGTTGGCAATGGCCAGGCTACTCACTGTTGCTCAGCTTTGGCTCGGTCACTGAGGAAGAAGAGGGCTGTGGCCAGGAAGAACATCCCTCCCAGGACAACCACGAACGGGCAGAGCATGAGAGCATAACCCAGGCTGAGGAACTCCCACACTGGAGACTCCTTTGTGCTTTGTCGTATCAGGTCAGAGATCTACAAGAGAGGAGCAGAAAAATGAATCACTCAGATGAAAAAGAGACACCATGAGAGTGAAGGGAACACAACTCCTGAAACAACCACCCACCAAACATGTGTGAGCTTTAAAATGGAACATTGTGTTCAGTACAAGCTGACTGTCCCTCACACCCTTCAGCCTTCCACACTGGAGCCTGGGCAGTTTCTGCTCTGAGGCTGGGCAGGGGCTCTCCTCTTGCTGTCACTCCTCTGGCCTGATCTAATATTATTCCCACAGCCCTTTCCATGTTCTCCCAGGCAGTGCCAGTGACAGCATCAGTGGGTGTGTGACCTTGCTGCCCTGCCCAAACACCCTGGGGAGCCAGCAGGGCCATGCTGGTGCTGCTCAGGGCTGAGGCAGTGACCAATCTTCTGCAGTTCCTATCAGGTCCTGCTCACTCCCACACCTGATCTACCTTTCAGCAAAGGAAGGTATTAAATTCCATTTCTGAGTACTGAGTGGGAAGGGGGGAAAATGTTTTCCAAAGAACATAAAAAAAAAAAAAAACCAAACCAGATCCCATCTGATTTGGAGAAAAATAATTGGAACCTGGGGGCTTTATGCCCATGTCTGAGGTATATGGGGCTCATTCCATCTTCCAACCCCCCAAGCTTGAAGTGTAATTGTGTACAAGACATGGCTCTGTCCCAGGCTCAGACATGGGGCTGTGCTGGCACTGCACACCACCAAATTTACGGATCAAGTCAATCTGCACCTTCTGACAACCAAAAAGCATCATTACATGAAAGCAAACACAAATTATTTACACCTACACAAAGGAGCAGAGACATACAACAGCACTATTAAGTTTGTTATGAAAAGCTTTTGCTAGAACTCAGTAAAATGTAATGCATGTCTGTAGTTTAAACTTCCACATTTTAATATTTACTGCCCAGCAAACAATTTTACTCTCCATAAATCCGAGAGAGAGGTAGCAGCAGTTGGGGTGGGTCTCAAGGCATTGGGTATTTAAATGTCCAGCTCTGTTTTTATCCATGACCTTTTGTTGGGGGAGAAACACTAATTTATACCAAAAGACTGCAGGGAATTTGGAACAAAAAAATCCTGCTACTGTGCACACACACAAATCAGCTCCAGAAATAGTCAAAGCTTGTGCAGCAACTTCAAAACTGCCACATCACTGGTAATGGAAAAGTTGGAGTCAAACACAACCTACAAGCAAGTTCTGACATTCAAGGCTTAAATCTTGACAGAGAAAAGAAGAACTGTCACATGCAGGAGCAATCACCAGCTCACACCCTGCAGTGACATGGAAGGTAAATGTGTGTGAGGAGGTGCCTGACCAACAGAAGGTGCCAGGAGCATGATGCTCATGGGGACTCCAAAGAACAGGTCACTGGCTGTGTTTGAGCAGGGAGATTTGGGGCACTGGGGGTCTCAGTGTGTTTATGCCCCTCTCACAGCCCAGCCTGGCTCCTAGGGAGGGATGGAAAGGAGGAGCTGCCAGCCCAGTGCTGAGGGGACACTACTGCACATGCACATCCTGCCCTCCAGGATGGAGCCCCCTCCAATAAGGGGAGTGAATCAACACTGCAAGAGTGTAACTACAGAAAGAACTGAAGGGTTTTAGCCTCATTTCTCTGTTTCATTCCCTGCCCTAGAAAGGATGAGGAGAACATTTCAGTGCTTGGGATGTAGAAGAGTTCTAGTCCTCTCAAAAAGAACTTTATTCACAGTGTAAAACACACGAAGAAAAACACGAGTGTTGCAAACAATTCTTATGTGAGACTCAAGGAAAATAAAGTGACCATTAGTCAGAGAGATTTATTAAAAAACAGCAACAAGACTTGAATGTGAAAAGGATGCACCACAGGAAAGTAGCAGAATGTGCTCTGCATTCAGGGACATCAGCTGGTCATTAATTCCCTTTTGTATCCACACACCTTAATTCCAAACATTTTCCTTACTCTTCATTATGAACCAGAATTTGGCATCGAGTCAATGTCTCTGTCAGACTGCAATAGCCAGAATTGAGGATATTCTATAACAGAAATCTAAAGCACTTTTCATTTTGGGGAATGGATAAAATTATTCTCTAAAAGGACCAGACAATAAATCACTTGACAAATTGACATGGTAAGTCAGCAGCAGAGGATGAAAAGCCATGCATGTGGTTCTGATTGCTTTCTCCATGGATGGTATGACATTCTAGGCTAAAAAACAGCTTTGAAAGTGTGAAGTCTCCAAAAGATAAATCTCCCAATGCAGTTTGTCTCACACCTTCCCTTCTAATGCAGCAAATTGTGTTGACCTTTTCTAGCAACAAATCATGTTATTATTAAATCTGCTGTATTTTTCATTTTTAACCAAACACATTCTGTAAATGCACAGTTTGGAAAAAAATGCCTTTCCTCCCTTTCAAGGTATAATTCTTTCCACCAAGCCTGCTGGGCTTCCTCACCCAGGTTCCATATATAATACACTCCCCAGGGTCTTCATCTCTAAACTCTAGGATTTTACCAGGGTCCACATATATGTTTTTGCTGCTCTCTGTTAGCTTGTTCCAAACCACCTGCTAAGGCTGGAACTTTGGCATCTCCTCTCAAGAGGACACAGGACATAATTACAGACCTAGGCTCCAAGAATGACACACCGTTTGCCAAATGCTCTGCTCTGTACTGCCAATTTTGGGTTTTCCTTGCAATGACAGCATCCTGAGCTGGCCAACTGTGATTTGGCAGGACCCAATCAAGCACAATTTTTGGTGTCTTCTCTCTAAGATGAGTAACAAACTGCGGGGGCTGCGTGTGGCCGGTGCCAGCTCTGCAGCACGGAGTCGTGTGTGGGATTCCTTCCTTTGTTCCTCCAGCTGGGAGGTGCCAAAAAGCTTCAAAACATCTATGCAGAACGTGGGGGTGGAAAATCAAGAGGGAAGTCCTGTTGCTGCTCTGCAGTTTAATCACAAGTCTTTGATACCAACTGTAAGAGCCTGAATTAGAGATGCAGTGAAAATGCAATTTATTGGATCCAAAGTGTTCCAGCAGCCCAGGGTGGTGGGTGACAGAGCTGTGCCCACAGCTGTCAGCTCCAGCTGCAGGCAGGCCCTGAGACCCTGAGTTTAGGTTACAATGCATTATAGACTTTTCTTTTGGTTACAATGCATTATAGACTTTTCTTTGCTGAGCATCTTAATACAGTAGAACCAATCTGTACCTTAACTTTTATCTACAGCCTATCATAACTACTGTAATCACCATATTCATGTTACTGTTCTCCAATCACTAAAAGTTGGTACATTACAGTTTAAGCTAGAAGTTGTGTTTCAGTTTTCTTGCAGTGGAAAATTCTGAGACCTTTTTTCTACTGGCAACATTTGCTGTTTTGTTTGCCTGTGCTCTCTTCCTGCTTGGTAAAAACATCTTCTTGTTTGGGGTGGGTTTATCCTTTGCTCTAAGCCATAAAACCCCTTCTAACTAACAGACCCTTTGCCTCCTTGGTTATCCAGTGAGGCTGGCTCAGCAATTCTTTTCTTCTATATCAAAACTTGCTTCCATTTCTATTCCTTCTTCAGATTCTACATTCAAAAATCTTTCTGCTAAGCATCTGTGAGACTTTCTTGTCAAACTTTCATCCTTCCCAACAACCAACCTGGCTGTGAAATTCACATCTCCTCCCTTGCTGTGCAGCACAGAGCTCAGAGCAAGAGGAATGACTTTGCTGAATGAACTCAGCTTGAGGCACTTTGAGAGCAGAACAGGACAGTGTGTGCTCAGCTGGTGGCAGCACCTGGATGGAGCCCAGCTGCAGACAGCTCCTGCTTTCTGCAGAACCAGCAGTGCAGCTGCAGTGGCACCATCCCAGCCCCAAACCCCCACCTGTGTCTCCATCTGAGTGCAGGAGACATCAGGGGAACAAAGGGAAGCTTCATTACTGTCGTGGGAAGAGTGTGGTGTGTGCTTTGGAACAGGCTGCAGGCCATGGACACAGGAGATGCCAAGGTGGGCTGGAGCCCAAGGAAGGCATCTGGATTCCATGTTCTGTCCCTCCTGAACAGTCTGGGTGGGTAAATTAACTGATTTATTAATTACACAGTCTAATGGTAAGAACATCTCTGAAATCACTGTTTCATTTCCTCCTCTCTTGTTGCTGAGTCAATATTTCAATTCCTCTGCAATTGGCTTCTCTAAGTTTCTGATGCTGCCACTTGGGCACAAATCCTGCTACATAAAAGAGTTTTTCTGGCACAAATATCTGATTTCCATGATTACCAGTTTGATACAAGCCAGGTTCTCCCTGGCTGATCATTTCAGTACAGTTCCTAACACAGTATTCCCTGTAACCCCACAGTGGTTTGAGATCCACCCACTCTCAAGTCAGAGTGAATATGAAAGATTTCTTTAATTTTCTAAAAAAATGGACTGTGAATGAAAATGAAGCTGAGAAAGCAAAAAGAAGGGATTTTATAAAGTAAACAATTTGCTGGGCCTGGGGGGAGCAGAAGAGTTGACACTGTGCTAAGTGGCATGAGGAACAGTTTATAATAAGAGGAAGCAAACCTGTTTTTTTAATGATATTGTCCCTCTCCCAGGATGACCAGGCTGCATTAAATACATGGTGCTGCCTTGAAAAAGGCTACAGTAAATAAAGATACTCCATAGGGATGCTGCTTGCTGTGCCAGGACATGGACTTGGTACATAAGAGCAATATCTGCCCCATTTACCCTGGAGAGGGCTGGAAGTCTCTTTTCCTCAAATCATTAACTGCACTTCTCTCTGGTCTGGTGTGCCCAGGGATTTTCTAAGTTGAGACTGGCCTTTCTCTGATCCCAGAGAGAGATGCCTCCTACCATGGGGCATGTGAAGGAACTGCCATGACCCAGGTAGGTGAATGTGCAGGGATGGGGGTGCCCATTCCCATGCAGAAACAGGTCTGGGGCACAGGACCTTTAGCAGAATCCCTGTCCCCACCTCTCCTGGCTGCATGGACCCATTCCCTGTCTGTATATCCCACAAAAGC